TATCATGAGCATCGACATCATCAACATGATGATGATGATCAATATCGTGATCAGTATCGTCCAACATTGCCACCATCATCATTACCACCATCATTATTACCATCATCATCACCAACGTGGTCACCAACATCCTTGTCCTCACCCTCATCATCACCATCATCACCACCATCATCATCACCACCATCAACACCACCACCACCACCATCATCATCATCACCACCATCATCACCACCATTACCACCATCGTCACCACCATCAACACCGCCACCACCACCACCATCATCATCATCACCACCATTACCACCATCATCACCACCATCAACACCACCACCACCACCATCAACATCATCACCACCATCAACACCACCACCATCATCATCATCATCACCACCATCATCACAGGAACAGCGTGTAAAGCTCACATAGAGTGTCCTATGTACCAGGCTATGTTCAAATGCTTTATGCCCGTTACCTCATTTAATTCTCACACTATCTCTGTGAAGTAGATATTATTGTTATCTCTAGTATACAGACAAACAAATGGAGTTGAGTAACTTGCCCAGGCTCCACAGACAGGATCTGAACCCATGATGTCTGTCTCCAAAGCCCATGCTTTAAGCACTGTGCCCAACTGCATATTGACTGCCTATTCCTCCTCTTGGAGCAGAGAGCCACAAGTAGCAATAACTGCTTGCAGAACACAGTGTGAGAAATGGGCCTACCAAACCTGGGCTCTGGTCCCAACTCAGGCAAGACCCCTGCCTCCTCAGGCCTCCATTTTCCCATCTGTAAACCAAGGAGGTGAATGAACATCTGGATGATCTCCACACTCCCTCAGGCCACCACTGCATGTGACTGGCCAGCCCCTCCAGATTTCAAAGCCTCCAGAAATCTCTGCTTGGTCCTCCTGGGGAAGCTGGTGGGGGATCTGATGGCCTGTGGGGGAACACTCCGGCAGGCTCCATTAATTCTGACTGATGCCTGTCCTCAGGGGGTAGAAAACCTCAGTGCAAGTGGGACAGTGTCCACTCAGGTCCCCCGAAACCTTCACAGAGGGTCCAGGGAGTGAGTGGCCAAATGGTGTCCCCTTAGTCCTCGACCACTAGTCTCCATACTAGTGGAGCATCAACATCATCAATGTGATGATCATGATCAATATTGTGATCAGTATCGCCCAACATGGCCACCATCATCATTACCACCACCATTATTACCATCGTCATCACCAACGTGGTCACCAACATCCTTGTCCTCACCCTCATCATCACCATCATCATCACCACCACCATTACGACCATCATCATCACCACCATCAACACCACCACCACCACTGGTGTTTTTTTTTTCTTTTTTAAGATTTTACTTTATAATTTATTTCAGAGAGAGAGAGAGAGAGAGCACATGAGCAGGGGGAGGAGCAGAGGGACAAGCAGACTCCCTGTGGAGCAGGGAACCTGATGTGGGACTCGATCCCAGGACCCTGAGATTGTGACCTGAGCTGAAGGCAGACGCTTCACTGACTGAGCCACCCAGGAGCCCCATTCTCCGTACTGTTAACAGGGCAACTCCACAGGTACCGACTTGCCACCCATTTGACCCTGTTGATTAAGAATTTCTACAGATATATAATTTCAGCTCATGCAGCCCGACCCAGATCCAGAGCTCCTTGAAGGGGAAGGGCAAGGTTGTGCTATCATTATCAATTCTGAGGCAGGCAGCACTGAACCATCTTCAAAGGTCTTCACCGTTGAAGATGTCATCAAACGAGTCTGTTCACACTACCTCTCACGGCCTGAAGCCACGGTGACAGAGATGGTGGCAACAACAGTAACGGAACCATCACCTGTATCCCGAGTGCCTACTGTGAGCTGGGCACCGTGATGGACAGGCCTGCCGCTCACCACACGGCATTTCATTCCATCTTCAGGATGGCTTATGGCCGGGGGTATCTTGGGCCCATATAACCCAAGAAGAAACTGAGGCTCAGGAGGGCAAATGACCACCTAGACTTTCACATCGGAGGAGGGCTGCAACCCAGACTCCCATCCAGAGGCTGAGCCTGTTCGTGCTTTCCTCTCCCACTAGATAGAGTGGAGAGGGCACCATGACAAGAGCAGTTCCTCACACGGCCCCAGCATGCCCCTTCCCTGCCGCCCGCACAGCCCCTCCGTGGGCAGCTTCTATCTGTGTGGCTCCTCACCTCCTGGGAACTCCAGTCTGGGCAAAAGACAGCCAAGTCAGACTAAACATTTTCTGCACACCTATGCTCATGCCAGGCTCTGCCCCCGGAGCGGGGAAGATAGGGGACAAGCCTGAAAGGCAATCTGGGGGCTCACTGTGAGCCCAAGTTGGACAACTTCCGTGCGGTGGACCCCAAAGCTGAGCCCACGGCCAGCCCCCAATAAATGAGCTCACTGTTCAGCAGGAGAGCAAGACACATAATTATAATCCAAAGGTGGAAGTGCTCTGATGGGGGCGCCTGGGTGGCACAGTCGGTTAAGTGTCTGACTCCTGGTTTCTGCTCAGGTCGTGATCTCTGCGTCGTGAGATCAAGCGCCATGTCAGGCTCTACTTGGCACCAAGTCTGCTTGAGATTCTCTATCCCTCTCCCTCTGCCCCTCCCGCTTGTGCTCTCCCTCTGCAATAAAGAAATAAATCTTTTTTAAAAAAAGGAGTTCTGGGCGCCTGGGTGGCTCAGTTGTTAAGCGTCTGCCTTCGGCTCAGGTCATGGTCCCGGGGTCCTGGGATCGAGCCCCGCATCGGGCTCCCTGCTCAGCGGGAAGCCTGCTTCTCCCTCTCCCACTCCCCCTGCTTGTGTTCCCTCTCTCGCTGTGTCTCTCTCTGTCAAATAAATAAATAAAGTCTTTAAAAAATAAAAAAAAATAAATAAAATAAATAACAAAAGGATTGCTATAATGGAGGGGTGCCTGGGTGGTGCAGTCAGTTAAGTGTCTGACTCTTGGTTTTGGCTCAGGTCAGGTCATGATCTCAGGGTGATAAGATCGAGCCCCCTCGTCCGGCTCTGCGCTCAGCATGGAGCCTGCTTGAAATTCTCTCTCCCTCTGCTCCCCCCAAAGAATCCTTAAAAAAACAAAAAGAAGTGCTATCATGGAGAAAAGCACTTAATGTAGCTTTGTGTGGGTGTGTATATGTGCAATTGTGTAGAAGCAGAGGTATCAAGGAAGGCTTCCCAGAGGAGGCAAATCTAAAGCCTGATTAGGAATTGGCCAGGACACAAAGGGTGGAAAAGGAGCTCCCGGTAGGGGGGAAGACCTGAGCTGGGGCTCAGAAGCGTGGCGCGGCCTCGTGTGTGGGTGTGTGGCCAGGACACGAGGGCTATTCAGGGTTTCAGGAGGTGAGAGGCAGAGGCCAGAGACAGACGAGCAAGACACAGAGGCCCCTGGCAGTTCCAGAAGCACATTTACAAGCCTCCTCCTCTCTCAACCTTATACTGAGCCAGCAAGTCTAACTCCCAACCCGGGCTCAGGCAGAGTGGAGCGCTAAGGCTGGACTCCAGAGGGCTTCAGGGAGACAGGCAGGACATAAAGTGTGGGCCTCCAGGTCCAGGGACAGCAGGATGGAAACCTAAGGAGCTGGGCTAGAGGAGGAACAGGCTGGGTCAGGGGCTGGAACAAGCAGAGACAGAGGGTTGCCCTCGGTCCTCCCTTGCCAGAGCACTGGGACTGGAGCAGGGAGCAGCAGGGTAGAAAACCATCACGTTAGAGTCTCACACGTGCCACATGGATCCTCCAGGCCCTGCCAGCAGGGGGCTAGCCCATGCCACCAGGCTTCTTGCTCATGACCTCTACCTGTCTCCAGCCTGGCCTCCTTCCAGAGGTCTGTGGGTAGGCGCCAGCTCTGCACTCAGGCTTCTAGGCCCCAAGCAAGGCCAGAGATGTGGCCAAACCACGCACGATCCAGGCCATTGCCATTTGCCCAGCACTCAGCCTTGAGGAGATGCCCAACAAGTGAGATGGATGAATCATGTCAGCACCCCAAGGAGGCATAGCTGCATCTCCTACGAAGCTCCAGCTCCTACAAAGCCTTACACAGAAGGGATGGGCACCCATTGTACTCTCATGGGTCGCTTTCCTAATACGAGTCTCACACTTTGCAAAAGTAAGTTGGCAAAACGTGGGGAGAAGCAAACGAGATGCTAGGGAGCCGTGGGGTGGAAATTCAGGTCCTGGGGTTTAGTACTCGTCATCCCCTGCAGGACCTGGGGGCTTATTTCTCTCGGAGCCTCAACTTTCCTCATCTGTAAAGCGGGGACAGACAGGGAAGATTTGGATCAATGATTCTCAGCCGGGTGTGCACACGGGTCATGGAGAGAGTGGCTTCCAGCTCCCTGTTGATGGGCTTCCCCAGAACCACACAGAATGGCCACACAGCCCCTCCCTGACAGATGCTCCCATGAGTTCCATCCAGTTTGAAGAGTCCTGGCTCCAAAGACAGCCGAGGCTACTCTTCTCTTTCTGACTTCCAGCTTGCCAGAAAGGCAGTTTCCAGTGCCAAACAGTCAAACCAAAATCCCAGGTGCAGGGAAGAAAGGCTGGACAGACAGACGGACACAGCACAAATCCATGTCTTTTCCCAAGCTCTCGTACCTGAGCCAGCCCACAAATGCTGTGGCTGGCTACTAAGCAGGTCCTTTGGGGAAGCTAAGGCCACACGGCCTGATATGGGTGGTTTCGAAGTTAGGGACCTGGGGGGAGGGTTACCCCAGGCCTGCACCCCACACGTGTCCCATCAGGGACAGAAGGAGGAACATATCATTCAACACTTCAACTCATTTAAAACAAAACGAAACAAAAGTTTCAATTCCAGCATGAGTTAAGTACCCTTTGACTCCAAATTCCTCCCTCCGGGGAAGCAGCTCAAGTTCCCAAGAAGCCCCCGGCCTCTCTCCCAAGGCTGAGTGAGGCCTATACTGCTGGCACGCCACGGGGCGGGCATTGGCCACATACGGGGTCTGGCCGGGAGGGCCGGGCCGGGCTCACCTTCACACTGCCTGCCTTCCCCTTTGTAGCCCGGCTTGCAGAGGCATTTGTAGGACTTGGGCGTGTTCTGGCAGATGGCATCGATGTGGCAGTCATCCGTGCCCTCCGAGCACTCGTCCACGTCGACTGGCCCTGGCGGGGGGAGCGGGGGAAACCACTGGTGAGGTGTGGCCTGGGCGGCAGGCAGTCATGGCTGGGGGCAGGGAGCTCCTTCTGCCCCCCCACCTTCCAACGATCGCTGGGGTAATTAACAGTGATAGCCATCACACGACAAGCCGGTGTGACGAGTGGCGACTGGTAGCATTTTGGGGGCAGCTACTCTGTGCCAGACACAATGCTACCTAAATGCGGGCTCCCATTTATTTTCAAGACGGTCCCGTTCAGTCGGTCTATTACTCCTGCTGGAGAGATGACAAAACCCGAGGCTTAGGAGCACTGCCAGGAAAGCCTCTCTGTGTGTCTTGCTCTCCCCACAAGCACTGCTCCATCCCTCCTCCACTCTCCTTATTCTAGAATTCAGAGCCAGAAGGGCCTTGGAGGAATTTAATCTATCACCTTGAGGTTACAGTGGGGGGCGGGGCAGGGGCAGGAAACCAAGGCTAGAATGGGACAGTGAGCAGAGGCCACGCCAGGAGGCCCAGCCGGGTGATCTGACCCCACTCAGCCCCAAGGCTGTGGAAATAGAGGATTCTTCACCTAGCTTCCACACCCCCGCCTGCAGCGGCCAGCAGTAGAGCTACACCCTCAGTGGGGTTGGCGGGGCTTGTCCGTGGCTCTGACCTCCCCATCCTTTCTCCTCTCCACCTCGGACACCTAGCACCTTCATGACTCCAGTCTTCCCCTAAGCTGTCAGGTTCCTGAGACTGTCCCTTCTGAATTACTCCCCTGGCTGGCATCAGGGCTCTAAATCTGTGGGGGGGGGCTTCTCTAAGAGAATAGAGCTCCTCTCTAAGTCTCTAAGGGCTCCAGCCTCCCCCAAAGGAAGAGAGGCATCAACCAGAAGCATAAGAGCAAAATTCCCGACACACGCGCACACACGCACACACACGCGCACACACGCACACACACGCGCACACACGCACACAGACACACCCAGCAGGTGGCGTCACTTTTCAGGGTGGTTGTATCTGCTCAGGTTAGCAGCCTGTCCTCTACAGCTGCCCAAAGGAAGGGGGAACGGGAGCCAGGAAGCAGTCAGAGTAGCAGGCCAGAGCCAGCCATCAAATGGCCAGGGGCCAGCAGGAACATCAGACCAGCAGAACATCCCCTTCTGGGGAAGTGACAACACAGGGACCCCCATGCAGGGTTAGCACGGCCTCAAGGGCAGGAAGCCAGAGGCCAGGGAGGGCCAGTCTGCATCCTTCCATTGGGGAGGCCTGGGGCCACTTCTGAGATAGGACCAGCAAGGGAAATGGACCACGGATGCACATCCCAAGGGTCAGTGTACAGGAATGAGGGGAGGGAAACTGCCTGGGATTCTGGAGCCCCTTTTGCCCCATATCCCTCATCTCTGACCTAGGCAGGTATCCTCATGGGGAGGGGAACGGATGAAGGTTAGCCACAGGACTCGTGGGGGGAGGATCAGACAACTCCCAACACATCTCCTAAACATGACTTTAGGTGGGGCTGGGGAGAAGGACAGGAGGCACAGGCCATTTGCTCCCATGGTCTGCCCCTGCACCCTGCCCAGGGCTGGGGACTCCCTCCAGAGGGCAGCCCAGCCCTTCCATCGTGCTTGCTTTGACTTTGGTTTATGTCACAGCACAAGGCTTTCAGGGGCTGGGACACAGAGGAGGGACAGAGAGGTGGGGAGAGGCACATACAGAAACAGCCAAACAGGGGCGAAGGATCCTCAAGTCGGAGCGAGATACATACAGACACGGTGGGGGCTGTGGGCCACAGGGCCCAGCCTCCGCGGGCTCCCTCTATGAAATAGTTTAAACGGCCTGGCATCCTTAGTCAGGGTGCGACTCCCAGGAATAGATTCCTGTGCCACCAAACACAGACTTCGGGGAGCCCAGCATGGCAGCGGGGGCGGGGGGAAGCCAAGGAGAACAGAAGCAGGCAGGGTACCCCCCCACCCCTCAAGGAGAGAGGGAGGAAGCTCCTCCAAAGCTGTGGGAGGAGACACTGTGCTTTCAGCTTCGGGGGAGCACCCCTACCAGACAACCAAGGGAGTGGGAGGGGAAGGAGAGGGCGCTGGGGAGTTCCCTGTGAAATCCTGCACCCCCTGCCCCCAGCCTCTGCCGCCTGCCCCAACCCATGCCCCAAATGCTTCGGATCCCGGATCCCAGATCCCCCCATTTCCTCCTTCAGTGCCTCCTGCCTCCCTCTCCTGGGCCTCCTCCCGGAGGTCCCAAGTCTGGTCTCCCCTCCCTCTGGTTCCCATCCGTCTCCTTCCCTCTGTGTCAGTCCCTCTGCCCACCCCCCCTTCCTGTCTGTCTGTCTGCCCACTGCTTCCCAGCCATGTCCACTTCTGTCTTTCCCATCCGTCTGTCTTGCTCCCCCCCATCCCTCCCCCCACCCCGCTCCCAGCCCTCTTGTCTCTTTCTCTGCTGCACCCTCGGCCTCCACCTCTCCTCCTCTCGCTTCCTTCCCATCCCTTCGCCGGTCCCTCACATCTCCCTTTCTCTGTCTTTTTCCTTCCAGCTGCCTATTTGCCTCCTTTTCTCTCCCCTGGGTTTCCTCCTTCCCCTCCGGTCTTCTGGTCTCCTCCCTACTCTTCGTGTCTTTCTCTGGGATTCTTTCTGTGTCCTTTTGTGTGTTCCCTCCGTGCCTCTTTTTCTGTCCGTCCGTCCCTCTATCCACCACCTCCCCCAACCCCTTTCTCTCTAGGTCAGTTCTTCCCCCCGGCTCCCCTCCTCTCCTTCTCCCCTGTGGGCCTCCTTCCGCCCGCACGCCCCTCTCCCCTGGGGGAGCGCCCGTCGGGCCCCGGGGTCCCCACCACTCCCTCCCGCCTGCGCTCCGAGCGCCGGGGCTCCCCTCCGCGGGTCGTCGCGCTTTCTTTCTTCCTCCCGCCCTCGCGCTCCCTCCCCCGGGGGGCCCCAGCCTGTCCCGCCCCTGCTGCGGCCCCGCCGGGCTCCCGGAGCCCCCGGGCTTCGGGGAGGGGGCGCCCGGCGTCGGCCCCAGAAGTTACTTTGCAAAGAGGCGGGGCGGGGCGCGGGGCCGCGCGGGCTGCAGCCCCCTCGACGGCGCGGGGCGGGGGCCCACCCGGGACCCCGTCGCCGCCCAGAGCCCGCCGCCGGCCCCGCTCGGGGCTTACCTGGGAGCCCGCTGCCCCCCGCCAGCCGCCCGCGCGTGCCCAGGGCGAGCAGCAGGCACAAGTGCCAGCGCACGGCCGCCGCGCCCATGCTCGCTGCGAGCCTGGCCGGGCCGGCCGGGCGTGCGGGCGTGCGGGGCGCGGGGACCCCTCCGACCGGCCGCTCGGCGAGCGCTCCTCGCTGCTGGCTCCTCGGCCACCGCTCGGGCTCCCAGCCACCGAGCCGGCGCGGCTGACGAGCTGACAGCCGTGCGCTCATTGGCCCGCGGCTGCCGGGGGCGGGGCTCTGCGCGCGGCCGGCCAATGGGCGCCGGCCCCCGGCCCGCGGGGGGAGGGGCGGGCGTCGGGGGTGCCCCCTCCCCTCGGGGCGGGCGGCAGGTTGTGGGGTGGGGGCCGGGGCCCGCTCCGGTGGCCGCTGGGGTGCACGGTCTCCGCCGGGCTGGGGCTCGCTCGGAGGCTGCTCCCTTCCCCGACCCCTGCCCCCACCCCCCCATGCCCTAGTCGTCGAGGGTGACCGTCCCTCCGGGGGCAGCCCTCCCACCTCCCCAACACGCACACTCCAGGGAGAGGAGGGAGCCTGACGAGCGGCCCTCGGAGGTCGAGAAAGGCCCGGAGACATCCATTTGCCGTGAAAGAAATGGGAACGCTCAAAGCAGAATTGTGCACTCGTCCAGTCGGGAAATGTTTGTTGAGGACCTACTGTGCGTCCAGCGAGGGCAATGCAGCGGTGAACGAGCCAGAAAGGAAAAATTATGAGGATCGATTAAAATTAGACGCTCAAAACAAATGAACTTTTTAACGCTCCCCAAAGGACAATGGCTCATAAGCGAGCTTGTCATAGGACAGCTGCAGGATGCGCATGTGGAAAGCTCCCTGACGGACAGTGCCACTTTGCAGGCAGTCCCTGCCAGTGGCGCAGCCCATCTGCCGGCTGACCCCTTAGCCTGCCCAGTTTGATGCCGCAAGTATTCAGGGCCTGGGGCCTCCGCAGTGACAGGCCCTGGGCAGGCAGGTGATGGGCTGGGGGCTGGAGGAACCATCACTGTCCTTCCACCCAAGCACCGCTCTGGCCTGGCCTGGGAAATACACCTGACACTTGGTGGCCTTTGGGGCTGGACCCAGACGCCCGCCCAGGAGGCGCAGCTGGAAATAAATGGCCCCTCTCAGCCCCAGGCAGGACGCTTTAAGGGAAGAAAGTTCAGCAAACCCCAAGGCCCATCTCCTTGACAACCACCAATAAGAGCTCCTTTTTTCTTCTCCTGCTCTCCAGGCCCGCCTCAAAGACAAGACCTTCCTCTTTTTGTCCACTCTGCCCGCCGGGGTCTGCGCCTAGCTTTCCTTTCCATACCAGTTCCCTTCCCTGCCCCCAACACACACACACACCCCTCCCAACACACCCCTCCCAACACACACCCTCAGGCATACAGACACATGCTCGCTCTCTCACACACACACTCATACACATCCTCGCAGACACACATTCCTGCATACACACTCACATGGTCTTCTGTAGACAATCACTGCAGTTCCGAAAAGTTAAATCTGTGTCCAGCCACCCTCACTCCCAACCTGACTTCCTATCACAAAGAGCTCATGACACTGGCCTAGTGGCTGAGGCAAAGGGTCCCCAACCTGGGGGACCAGAAATGGCCAGCTATGGCTGTCCAGGAATAAGACGGGAGGGGAGGTGCTTCTCTCTGCCCCCTCTAAGCCTTAGCCTTGTCACTCCAGATATTTCCTGCTGCATGGTCACTCCTAGCTGGTGGCTTAATTTTGGGGACCCCCTTATCTTTATAGGCTTTATTTTGCCCTCCTCCCAATTGTGTGGTTTTGGTTTCTGGGGGAGAAAGCTCCCTTAGAAACACACATTGTCTTGTGCATCAGTGACAAGGGCAAGCGGTGTGAGTTTGAGGGCGAGGTCCTTTTGTGGGGGCTCTAACTGACCAGAAACGACGTCTTTTAAAGTGCCTCTTCAGGGGCGCCTGGGTGGCTCAGGAGTTAAGCGTCTGCCTTCGGCTCAGGTCATGATCGCAGGGTCCTGGGATCGAGCCCCGCATCGGGCTCCCTGCTCGGCGGGAAGCCTGCTTCTCCCTCTCCCACTCCCCCTGCTAGTATTCCCTCTCTCGCGCTCTCTCTCTCTCTCTCTCTCTCTCTGTGTGTGTGTCAAATAAATAAATAAATAAAATCTTTAAAAAAAAAAAAAAGTACATGTTCACCAGGGGCACCTCGCTCCTGGCCAGGTGCCTTCCAAGCTTGATGGCAGCAGGCTCAGTCCCTCTAGATCAAGGAGGGAATGGATGCAGGTGATAGCCGTTTAGACTGTGACCCCCACAATCTGGGGGCAGCTCTCACTCATACCAAGTTCTTGTGCCCAGCCTGCCCCCTGTAAGGTGGGCAGATGGAAAGAACCTGGCTCCTTCCAGGAGGAGACTGTGGTCTGTGCAGAGGAGCCAGGGGGCAGGGAACAGGGATGGAGAAGAGACACGCGTGTGAGTCTCCGTGAATGTGCTAAAGGCCGTGGCAGAGAAACAGGTGGTTACTTCTGCTCCTGGGGTGGCTAGGGAGGCACCCTAGACCCTAGAGTTGGGCACGAAATATGAGAAGGAGATTTTCCTGATGCTTGAGAGAATGTGCCAAGGTCCACTGAAGAAGGTGGGGACCAAGGAGTGAGTGTTCTTGAAGTACCTTGCAAACTAAAGCACCGCACATGTGTGACGGTGACATGGTGGAGAGCTGCCCACAGAGACGGCGGCATCTGTGTGGTGGGCCTGGCTGGCCGGGTGAGAACATGTATGCCTGGACTCCAGCCAGGGGCATCTCGGAGCCTCTGGAAACTGAGCTAGGAGAGTGGAGGCTCAGGGATGATTCCGACAGTCACTTTGGGAGGGAACACTCCATAGCTCCCCGTCACCTTCCAAGCAAGCCCTGAATGCTTTGTGCAGCTAACGAGGTACCCGTAGCAGTCCCAGCCTTGTGTAACCACAGGGCCCCACAGACATGCTGCTCTCACACCCCTGAACCTTTGCCTCTGCCGGAAGCACCCTTCATGTCCTTCTTCACAGAGCTCACCCCTTCTCTGCACACACCCTCAACTCCTGCCCCGTGGCTGGGTGTAGGGCCTCCTCTGGGCTCCTACACACCTGGGGGCTGTCCCATCGGAGTCAGGCTCACCTTGGGTTTCAATTCTGCCTCTTCCCAAACTGGGGTTCCTGAAGGCGGAGCTCACACCCCATCTGCATCTGGGCCACAGCCTCCCGCTTGGGCCTAAGAAATTATTGTTGAACGAATGAACAAAGAAACAAGACAGACATCACTTAACCCAAGAATTCACATCGCTCCAGGGAGTGGATAAAGATTTTTCGGCTATTTGATAGGGCTTGGGGGGAGTGAATCCAGCTGCCCACACCCTCCTGGCCACCCCCAACCTCTCTGCCAGGTGGGGAAGCTGGGCAGGGGGCGCTCTCCTCCGGGGCCCTTTGGCTCCCCCTGGTGACCCCTCATAGACGACCCAGGAAGAGAGAAGGCAGAGGAGACTTCCTTCCAGCGCACACACAGCCCCTGCCTCTGGGGTGTTCCCACTGACCCCAGTCCTCAGCAAAAGAATACCTTACTTTAAAAAGAAAACTTCCTCAAGAAGAAGTCTCTTGATTAATAACAGTTGTGAAAGCTCTTTGAGAAAATAAAGTTCTCTGCGAGCATAAAATGTCATTCCAAGACTTTAGAGGCTTTGTTGTTCTTTCTTAGTAAAAATAAGGGGTTTCATAATAATCCCCCCTCATGTTGCACACTTTCTTTTAATAAAGGGAAAGGGGGGCAGCCGGAGAGGGAGAGAGAAAATCTTTATTTTTTTATTTTAAAGATTTTATTTATTTATTTGAGAGAGAGAGAGAGAGAATGAGAGATAGAGAGCACGAGAGGGAAGAGGGTCAGAGAGAAGCAGACTCCCTGCTGAGCAAGGACCCCGACGTGGGACTCGATCCCGGGACTCCAGGATCATGACCTGAGCCGAAGGCAGTGGCTTAACCAACTGAGCCACCCAGGCGCCCGGGAGAGAGAAAATCTTAAGCAGGCTCCACGCCCAGCACAGAGCCTGATGCAGGGCTCGATCTCATAACCCTCAGATGACCTGAGCTGAAATCAAGAGTTAAACGCTTAACCAACTGACCCACCCCGGTGTCCCTATGTTGCACACTTCTTTAGACCTTTGAGGGGAATCTCTTTTGCAATCGCTCCATGACCTTGGGCCCCACAAGTTGGGTTTCTTGGCTCGAGCCCCCAGCTGTCAAATGAAGGTCTCAGTCCCCAGGACCTTGGGCATCTCCAGCTCACGGTCCAGAGACTCCCCTGAAATAACCCACCTGAGTTTGGGCACACAGCATATCCTGACCTCCCTGCTGCCTCCTCCCCCATGTGTTACAATAGCTACCGTGTATCTAGTGTCCCTGAGTACCTGGCACTGTGCTCAATGTCTTGTGCACCGTGTCATTTCATCCTGACAGGCTGAGACTACCACCACCCCTACTCTACACCTAAGAAAACAGAGACTCAGGCCACTTGTCTGGGACCCCAGAGCTAGCAAATGTTGAGGTGGTATCTGAACTGAGGTCTGCATGACTCTCGATGACACACTCTTAACCACGACCTGTTGATAAAACCCTCTCAAAGGCTCAAAGGGCATTAGGGTACTCCTCTCTATAAGGCACAAAGTTGTACTTTTTTGGCTTTGATATTGAGAAAAGTGGTTTTTACATAGTGGCCAGACAGACTGTAACAGTTCCTAATTCATGGGGCTGAACTGTACGCTCGCTCATCTTTCTAACTGGTGCAAAACATTTTTCCCCATGTAGGATAGAGGTACTTAACCTCTGGGAAGGGGTTGAGTAGAAGTAGAAAGTGAGGGATCATATGACTCACCTGCGCACCCCACACCCCATGCAAATGAATCCTAGAGGTGGCCCAGCCCACACTCCTCATTTTACAGATGCGGAAACTGAGGCCCAGCCTCACAGATCTGCCACCCCCTCAGGCACCTCTAACCGCACTGCCCAGGTCACGTCCCCTCAGGGCTCCCTGCCCCGGGACAGCACCTCTCTCGTCTCTCCTCACCACCCACACCAAGCCTTGTCAGCTCTGTGTTCGCGACCTCTCCTCTCTATCCCTTCAGCC